ACACATTGATATTTCATAATTTTTTTTCCTTCCTAAAATTTTGGGTTTTTAAATTTTGTTTATGGTACTGATCATAAATAGAGAAAATATTTCAGATAATGTTTGTGGAGAGCAATATCTTGTAATGAAGTCTGAGGGTCTATGAATCCAGGTTTTCCCCAGTGTGGCAGCTGACAAGTTCTGGGGTTTTGCGTACACCACTTTACCTACTTCTTTTAACTAACCCTCTCAGTCCAGCTTAGGGATGGAACTCAGGGCCTTGGTCCAGCTCAGCAAGGTCTGTCAGTGAGCTATGGCCCTAGCTCTTCAGTTGACTTTTTTAATGTTTAGGTTTAGGCTTGTGCCACCACTGCCTGGCTTTGTCTTGTTTTTAACATCCACTTTCTACAGTCTTTATAACAGAGATTGAGTTAGTCCAGCTGTAGTATGTATGGGAGAGCTTACTGGCTGGTTCCACAGTTGTTTGGAAATTACACAGTCACTTAAGTGACTTCTGAGTTGTGGGAACAGAACATACAAACAGAGGTGATATTTAGCTAGACGTGGCATCGAGTGCCTGTAAGCTTAGCATTCAAGAGGCTGAGGCAGGAGGATCAACTCCAGTTTGAGGTCGGTCTGGGCTAGAGAATAAGACTGCTTCAAAAGTCCAAAAAACTAACCCAGAGACATTGAAAGTTGGGAAGGCAAACAGGAAAATGAGGGATAAAAGCTTTTCAAGTGGAGGTAAGTAATGAAGGAAAAGAACCAAGAACAACTTTCCCCAGTAGACCCAGGGGCTCAGTCGAGCTGTCAGCCCAGAGCCAGGGGTACACCCAGGGGCTCAGTGGAGCAGTCAACCCAGGACCCCCGCCTTCCCCGTTCCTTATGTTGCTTATTTTGTCTAGAAAGGTCGGGTTTCTGTTCCATGCCACTGTGAGGTTGAAAGGTTCTCTGTGCTGAGCCAGGCACCACTGAGTCAGAGGAACAAAACAATTCCCAGACTATTAGAGGCCTTGTGGAGTCAGCATAATCTTCCTTAAAGCCATCTTTGAAGAAATTGTGATTAAGTCATATGGGTTTTTGAGGTGCTAAATAGCTGGGCCCTGATTGGTTTGCTCTGTGCTTTTTCTTGGCCTACTTGAAGTTTTTCAGCCTTTGAAAGACTTATTTTATTCATCTACAAATGAATCTTTTCTTATTTCAGTCCCAGTCCACCGTAGCTTCTTTCTGAAAGCCTTTCTGGAAGAACTGCTTTCTGAGTTGTGGATCTGAGCATGTTTATAAATCTGCCTAAAACGTCAGTCCATCCTACCCGTTCGTCTGTCCTGTCCTGAGTACTTGGGCTTTTATTGGGTAGGTTCCTAACCACAGGGTCTTTATTGTTCTGTATTCTTGGGTCTTTCAGGTGATCGGATTGAGCTACCTGTTTAAAACAGAGGTTCATTTGAGCTCCAGCACACAGTGCATTTTCCCCTGGATTTCTGTTCATTTGGTCTTTGTTGCTGTGAAACAGGGTCTTATTCTGTAGCCCAGGATGCCCTGGATACATATAGAATGGCCAGTAATCCTCCTGCCTCAGTCTCCCAAGTGCTGGGATGCTTTTTAGATTATTGAAACATCTTCCTTTTCTAGGCAGCTTCTTCTCCCCCCCCCCCCACCGTGTCTGTCCATCCCTGTGTCTGTCCATCCCTCAGCTTCCTTGGCTGAGGGATGTTAATATGAACAGATGCACATCTGAGAGAGTGTCAGTTGTGAAGCCTCCTGACGCCACGTCACCTCAGGTTCCTTGGGCTTTATTCCCACTCGCTGTGCTCACGTTTTGAAATCTGAATAACACAGTTTCATGTGCTTGGAGAACTTGGAAGGCAGAAGACCCCTTCGTTAGGTGTGCCTTTCTGCTCCCCCTCACAGAGGGGTGACGTGTAAGTAGTCACCAGTGTCCTCTCTGGGGATTTTTGGAAGGAGTTTTAAGAAACTTTGTGGTCTCCACAAAGGAATTTTCCTGCATCCCCCTGGCAGGAGCTTCTGGTGTCTTTAATTCCTCAGAGGAATAAAGACATTAAGAATGGATGTATTAGGCACCTAATTATAATGCTGTAAATAAGAAGTGCTGCATTTTGATGATTGTCTTGGATTACAAATTTGAGCTCGGGGAGTAAAAGGCAGGAGTTAATCCTGTTGAAATGCCTTGTGCGTCCTTTGGGGTGTCAGGGAACTTGAAGCCTTCTGCTTCACACTGGCTGTCACCATTGGTGCCTGAGAGTCCCATCTCATACTGTCCGCGCTGTCTTGTTACTCGGGCTGTCTTTCGGTGTGACACTGTACTTTCTCTCATTGTGAGACAGAGGCAAAGGTTCTGCACTCGTCTGTATGCACGTGGTGGGTATGGAGTTAGAGCTGTGTCATAGCTAGGTGTGGCGGCACATGCCTGTATTCTGTATTCGGGAGGTTAGGATGGGAGGAGTGCCTTGAATTTGGGGATATCCTGGGCTATATAGCAGGATTTTTTTCTTAAAGAAGATTTTGTCTTAAAGAAGAAAAATAAGACTCATTAACTAAATTATTATTGTTGTGTATGTATTGTGTGTGTTGTGTGTGTATTTGACATGTGTGTGTGTGATGTGTATGTGTGACACTTGTGTGCCACGGCATACATCTAGAAGTCAGAGGAGTCAATGCCTTCCTTTTACACAGGGTTCTGGGGGAGTCAGACTTGGGCTGTCCAGCTTGCACCGGGAGCACTTTGACCTGCCTCCCATCATGGTGACTGACTGCCTCTCCCACCCTGTAACTTAAGACAGCCATTATCCATCCAGCTGATATGGAATGAGTGACTGACTCAGCAGTCCTTACTGAAGTTTGTACAGCATTCTCTAACAAGTCTTCATGCTTTTAGACCCTTTAACTTGACACCTGGGTGTGCCACACTGGTGGCAGGGTGTGAGGAAAGCTGCCACAGAGGTGGCTCGGAAACCTTTACCATGTCTAAAGCCTGGGCTTCTCCTTTAATGCTGAGTAAAAGATGGAAGCTCGCCTGCAAGCACAGGTAGTACTGAGCTGAGGCCTTGCATGGCTTGTCCCCTGCACCTTTCTTCCCATTCCTGGCTTCAGCTCTCAGCCCTTGGCTGTTTCAACAATGAAGAACTCCATTTCAGTTGTTTCTGGAACATACCAAGGGTATAGCCACACTGCAAATTCCACAAGGACAGGGTTTGTCATTATTTATTGACTCTCTAGTGCCTCACATGGCCCAGAATTTGGCCTAGCCCTGGATGGGATCAAAGAATCCTGCCCCTTCTCGGTCCGAATTCTCTTTCCACAGGACAAAGTGTTTGCTCTTTAAATGTTTCATTTTGGGGCCTTGTGTGGTAGCACATGACTTTAACCCAGCACTTGGGAGGCAGAGGCAGGTCCTGCATCTCCATCCGTATCACCATGTCCATATCACCGTGTGAGCACTCTAGCTGTCTAGCGCACTCTCACTGCCCTTTGTGTAGTTATGTGCACAGGCATTTTTAGGCTTTATTTTGGTTTTATTTATTTATTTATGGACAGGGTCTCTCACTAGAACAGCCTGTGCTGTACTAGAGCTTACTTGTGTAGCTTGGGCTGGTCTCAAACTCATAGCATATTATAACCTGAAAAAAATATATTTATAATATATAAATATACTGAAAGACTGCAAGTATTTGTCTTAAAATGTTAAGATCAGGGTGGAAAGATGGCTCAGAGTTAAAGAGCACTGGCTGCTTTTCTAGAGGTCCTGAGGTCAATTCCCAGCAACCACATGGTGGCTCACAACCAGCCGTGATGGGATCTGCTGCCCTCTTCTGGCATGCAGGTAGACATGCAGGAAGAACACTGTATAGATTATAAATAAATAAATCTTAAAAAAAAAAAGTCAAGAACAGCTGAAGGCCCAAAACAATAACAATTGTATATACTTTTTATTTATGGTGATTTTTTTTGAGACAAAGGATCTTCGTGCTTTTGTTTCCTTCGTGTTTGGATTACATGTATGCACCACTTCACATGGTTCTACATGCGTATTTTTTATAAGATTTACATATAAACACAAATGTACACACACACTTAGAAGTTTTATGTGTGTCAATATTTAGATGTACAGCTATGTACACATATATTCATGTTTTATGGTTAAGTACATAGTTATGGAACGTAGGAGTAAATAGTATGTGAACGTAGATATGATACAGAACGACATGGTTTAAAATGTAAATTGTGGGACTGAAAAGATGTCTCAGTAGACGTCTCTTCCTTGAGCACTTGCTGCTCTTGCAGAGGACTGGGACTTGGTCCCCAGTACCCACATGGTAGCTCACAGCCATCTATAACCAGTGGATCTGAAGCCCTCTTCTGACCTCCACAGACACTAGACATGCACATGGTGCACAGATCTACATGCAGACAAAACATATAAAATAAGATAAATCATTTAAAAAAGCTGTTTAAAATATAAATTGTGGGAACTTGGGGGGGAAAGGGATATCTTTAGGGAAAAAACATGGTAATTACATAATATAGGTAGGATGCACTGATTTTTGATCAAGGTCAACTTTTTGTCTACATAGGAACTTGGAGGCCAGCCTGGGCTACATGAAATCCTATCTAGGGGGAGAAGGGGGGAGGAAGGTAGAGGACATTCATTTTTAATGGGATATGCATTATTACTGTGTTTTCAGTAGCCATGCCTGTCTGTGCACTCACTTGTCTAGTGTGGCTTCCTGATGAAGCAGCTCTGTTTAAGGAATCCCTTCATCCCCTCAGAGGAGGATTAACAACTGCAAGCATGCCGGGCGGTGGTGGCGCACGCCTTTAATCCCAGCACTCGGGAGGCAGAGGCAGGCGGATTTCTGAGTTCGAGGCCAGCCTGGTCTACAGAGTGAGTTCCAGGACAGCCCGGGCTATACAGAGAAACCCTGTCTCGAAAAACCAAAAAAAAAAAAAAAACAACTGCAAGCATGCTCTGACAGTTTCCTTTATTTGTTTTAAACCTCAAGGAGCTGAAGCCACTGTTTCTGAAGGAAGTTGGGTGTCACTTTGATGACTTTGTGACCAACCTCATCGAAAAGTCAGCATCTCTGGACAATGGTGGGTGTGCGCTCACAACCTTCTCCATTCTTGAAGAAATGAAACACAACCACAGAGCCAAGTGAGTATGCGAGCGCTCGTCTCTCAGTGTACATGCCGGCACAGCATCTGTGCTGTGCTCGGTGCTGCTCAGACGCGGAGTTCTCTCAGTGTAGATGCCAGCACAGCTCGGTGGTCAGATGGCGGAGTGCAGTGCATGCCCCATCACAGGGCTCGCCACTTTTACTTCATTTTATTTTCTCAATTAGGTTCTTACTATATTGCCTTGGCTAGCCTTGAACTCTCTATGTGGACCAGATATGTAGACCAGACTGGCCTCAAACTTACAGAGCCTGCTTCTGCTTCCCAAGTATTAGGATTAAAGGTTTTTTTCTTCTTAACATGGAGTTCTGTTCATTTATTATCGTAGCCTTCAATGTTGTTACATTCATTTACTATGGCATGTATGTGTGTATGTGTGTGTGTATGTGTGTGTGTATGTATGTATGTATGTAGGCATACAGTCCACAGTGTACATGTAGAGGTCAGTGAACAGTTTTTGATTGTTAGTTCTCTCCTTCCACCATGTGAGTCTCATATTGAACTAAGGTTGTCAGGTTTGGTGACGAGTACCTTTACCTGCTAAGCCATTGCCCTGGCCCAGTGTGGGCTTTATACCATGTGTACATAACCTCCTTAGCCAAGCCCCTCATTGTGTGGTTGATAGCTATCTGCAACAGTCTGTGAGATCCCACAATGGGGGCTTTAACCCAGAGTCTGATCCAGAGTCCTTGTTTTTAATCACATCATTCCATGCCTGTTAGAGTTTATTCGGTGTGTACTTGTTAGAAAGTGCCCTGTAGTTAGGATGTATTTTTCCATTTGTTAAGTTACCAAAAATAAGAGGGAAGGTATCAGTGGCTAATATGTGCTAATTTGCTGTTCTGGGCTCTCTGCCAGTCTCTCCTGGAGAAGAGTTTTGAGAAGCAATAGCCAACAGTGGTGCCTAAAGTAAGATGGTATATAGGGTGCTAAAATGTGAGCTTTTATTACCCAGAGCAGCTGATATGATCAGGAGGCTGTTAGGAGTTGATGTAAGTTCTTAGCCACTGGGAAGAGCTCCATAAACATGCAGTCAGAAGATGCTTGCTGCCAAGCCTGAGTTCAATCCTTGGTTTAACATGGAGGAAGGAACGAGCTGACTCCTGCAAGTTGTTCTCTGACCTCTGTACACATGCGCACGCCACCCTCCCCTGAATAAGAAACCGAATAAAATGTAACAAGTAGACAAACATCAGGACAGTGTGGAGGACACATCAATAGCAGTGTACAGCATGGTAGGGGCCCTGCATCCCTCAGAGGCTTTTAGAATGGGTGATACAGGGATTGCCTTTTCATAGGAGCTGGAAACAGAAAGTCTAGGGCTTCAGTTAGATATCGGATGTAGGCCCTTCCTAAATATGAATCACCCACCCACTTTAGTTCACTGTCACGAGTGGTGAGAGAACTTGCATAGAACTTGCATACGTCCCTCAGCCTAGTACTGGAGTGGAAGGGGAAGGAGCTCAATAAATGTTGGTGAGCCAGCACAGTTGCCGATGAGCAAAGCACCCTCTGGTTCATGGGAGTAAGTTTCTTGTCATATTTCCCCTACCCATGTTTTTTTGTAATTTTTTTTTCTTTTCCAGAGATCTAAGAGCACCTCCAGAACAAGGGAAGATTTTTATTTCAAGGCGGTCTCTGTTAGAGTGAGTGATAATTGCTTTTTGTTAATTATCAATTTAATGTGGGAAGAAAAAAAGCTGTCCTGATCTGTCTGACTGTCCATCCATCCATCTGTCCGTCCGTCCATCCATCCATCCATCCATCCACCCATCCATCCATCTTTGTATCTGTCCCAAGTCCATATAAATCATGAACTTTTGTGATGTTTTTGTGTTCCTTCTTGCTTATCTTCTGGTTCTCTATCTGGCTTCTCTGGAAAAGATAGAAAAATAGCTATCTGTCCTTTGACAAATTCTTTGAAATCGTGCTACAATTCAGAGCACAATTATCCAGAAGGGTAGAGCAGAAGTAATCCACTTGGAGAGAGTTTGGAATTGCTGCCTTCTTAGTATGTATGTGTGTTTTCCCACCTCATTTTCTTGAGTAAAATTCTTGATAGTTTTCTCAAGGCTACTTTTAACCCCGACCCCTCCACCCGCCTGTCTAACCTGTGGTTCTCAACCTTCCTAATGCTGCAACCCTTTAATACAGTTCCTCATGGTGTGGTAACTTCCAACCAGAATATTGTTTTCATTGCTACTTTTTTTGTGAATGGTAATGTAAATATCTGTGTTTTCCAGTGGTTTTAGGTGACTTCTGCTAAAGGGGTTGTGACCCACAGGTTGAGAACCACTGGCCTAATCTCTTTAATATTGCATGTTATAAATGGATTATGCTGACTTAATTTATGAGCCAAAAACAAAGGGTGCACCTTGGCTGGAAGACGGCTGTCTCTTCTTTGCCATTGTGTTCATTGGAATATTGATGGAATTTACCCTGTCAGAATATTGGATTTGTGAGAATTACTTCATGTGCCGTAATGTGCCTTTGTTTAAAAATGAACCTTGTTTATGAAAATTTGCTGTATAAGGGAAATTGATATGTACTTCCTAACCTTGATGAGAAGGCAGAGCCTTTAGAATTCTGTTCATGTTGAGACTGGGTTGTGTTGTAGTTTCAAGAGAAGGATCTTCTAAAATTTGCATCTGGAGAAAAATGCAGGCTTCTTACATAAAAGAGTAACATAATTGCATTATTGAAAACTTAACAAAATGAAAGGGGCTATAGCTCAGTGGTAGAATGCTTTCCTAGATCTGCCTGAAGCCCTCATTAACGAGAAGGGAGGGAGGGAAGGGGGGAGAGAGAAAGCAAAGGAGAAGAGAAAAATTATCAATTAAAATATACTTAAATTTTAAATAAAAAGAAATATGATTAAGGAAATAGCTTAGCTAGGTTTTTCTTAGGTTTTGACGAGCCTTTAAATAGAGGCTTAAGAATATTTTACATCCTTCAAAGTTGTTGAGAAGCTGCACACACTTCCCAAGGCCAAGACTACAACCCTTGTTAGAGTTGGATCCAGAAGGTGCTCACTGGAGGGCAGTCATCCAGAAGGCCATTTCTGTTAAAAGGAAACAGCCCAGTCTGAAGTCCCATCCGCCAGCCGAAAGTGGAAGGTGTTTAGGAATGGCTGTGCTTTAAGTTGGTGAGAGTAGCTGCTTACTGTCCTCAACAAAGGAACAGAAACTCATTAGTAAAACTTGGGATTTGAAAAGTTAGTTCTTGTCAGTGACTAGCCTTTGTGCACACAGTAAAGCACCATGGGTGGTTTCTAGATACAGATTAGGGCACCTCTAAGGCCACCACGCTGCTTCTGAGTCACTGTCCTAGTTTGGAAAGAAAACGTTTAAGGATCCAGTATTTTTCACCTTGATTGTATCCTTTAATTTCTGTATATTGCAGGTTTAATGTTGTACTTATTTTGAGTTTTTATGTTTTGTTTGGTTGGTTGGTTTTGGTTTGAGACAAGGTTCCTCTGATAGACTTGGCTGTCCTGGAACTTGGCCTGTAGAGCAGGCTGGCCTTAAACTCAGAGCTTGAACTAAAGGTATTTTTTTGATTTTTCAAAGAGATTTCTTGAAAAGTAGATTAAACATCTTGTAAACTGCCTTAAAGCGTGCCTTTGCCTTTGCGGTGTGGTCCTTCAGAATTAAGCGTAGGTCACTAACTCCTGACCTGCCTGACCTACCCTTGCAGCGAGCTGTTTGAAGTGGACCACATCAGAACGATTTACCACATGTTCATCGCGCTCCTCATCCTCTTCGTCCTCAGCACGCTCGTCGTGGATTACATCGATGAAGGGAGGTAAGGCCGGAGCCTGCTCAGCCGGAAGGTCGACAGTTCTTATTTGCTTAAAAAAATTATCAGGCGGCCGATTTGGTGATGAATGTCTTCTCTCCTAAAAGTAAGAGAGAAGGTTTCATTTCTCCTCGCTATCATTAATAATAGTTGGTTTTGAGAAAGTAGTTCAGCTAGACTCAGGCTGACCACATAGCCGACGATGATCTTGAACCCTTGATGGAGCCCCCTCCCTCCCAAGTGCTGAGCTGATGCCTGCAGTGTGGTCCTGCTGGGAGCAGCGCTGAAGCACACCACGCCTGAAAGTTCTCTCTCTCTCT